GAGCTGTGGGATGATATCAAGAACAGCATCCATGAAAAAAGCAAAAGGTCATTAAAAAGACAAGAAAGAAAGAAGGAAAAGACCAAAATGGACGTCAGAATCGACTCTGAAATTTGCTATTCAATGTAGAGATGCTAAAGCAAATGGAAGAAATGAAGAAGTAAAGGAGCTGAATAGAAAATTTCAAAGGGCAGCTTGAGAAGATAAAGTATTACAATGAAATATGCAATGGCCTGGAGTTAAAAAACCAAAAGGGAAGAACACATTCAGCGTTTCTGAAGCTGAAAGAAATGAAGAAAAAGTTGAAGCCTCAACTTGCAATATTTCAATATACTATTGACAAAATATTCAACGATGCAGAAAGCATCAAAAGAAGATGGAAGGAAGGGATATTCAATCATTTCAAGAGGTAGCATATAATCAAGAACCAATGGTACCAAAGAAGAATTCCAAGCTGCACGCAAGGCATTGGCAAAAAGCAAGCCTACAGTAATTGATGGAATACCAATCGAAATGTTTCTACAAACTGATGCAGCTCACTCATCTATGCCAAAACATCTACATAGCCAATTGATGGAAGGGATCCATATTTGTACTCATTCCAAAGAGAAGTGACCCAACAGAATGCAGAAATCATTAAACAGTATCATTAATATAACATGAGGTAAAACATTGCTGAAAATAATTTTTAAATGGCTACAACAGTACACAGAAAGAGAAGTGCCAGAAATTCAAACTGGATTCAGAAAAGGATGTGGAACTAGGGATATCATTGCTGATGTCAGATGGATCTCGGCTGAAAGCTGTTTACTTGTGATTTATTGATTATGCAAAGGCTTTTGACTGTGTGTGTGACTCATGGATAACAAACCATTGATAACATTGCAAAGAATTGGTATTCCAAAACACTCATGAGGAACCTGAACGTAGACCAAGAGTTAGCTGTTCAAACAGAACAAGTGGATACTGCATAGTTTACAATGAGAAAATACATGAGCCAAGGTTATATTCTTTCACTATACTTATTCAGTCTGTAATAATCCGAGAAGTTGGATTCAATGAAGAAGAATGTGGCAATAGGATTGTAGGATGACACATTAACAACCTTCAATGTGCGGATGATACAGCCTTGCTTGCTGAAAGCGAAGAAGATTTAATACTTACTGATGAAGATCAAAACCACAACCATCAGTATAGAATGCACCTCAATGTAAAGAAAACAAAATTCCTCAAAACTGGACAAATAAATAACATTATGATAAATGGAGAAAAGATTGAAGTTACCAAATACTTCATTTTCTGGGATCCTCAATCAACACTCATGGAAGTAGCAGCCAAGAAATCAAATAACAGATTGCATTAGGCAAATCTGCAGCACAAGGCCTTTTTAAAGTGTTCAAGAGCAATGATGTCAGATTGAAGATAAAGGTGTGCCTGACCCAAGCCATGGTATTTTTAATAGCCTCACATAAATGTGCAAGTTGGACAATGAATAAAGAAGAACACAGAAGAAGTGATGCATTGAATTATGGAGAAGAACTTTGGACTGCCAGAAGAACAAGCAAATCTGTGTTGGAGGAAGTAAAGCCAGAACATTCTTTGAAAGCCAGGATGGTGAAACTTTGTCTCTCATACTTCGGACATGTTATAAGGAGGGACAAGTCCCTGGGAAAGGGTATCATGCTTGGTAAAGTTGAGGGTCAGTGAAAAAGAGGGAGACCCCCCCAACCAGATGGATTGACACTGTGGCAGCAGCAGTGGTCTCAAGTGTAACAATGATTGTGAGGATGGCACAGGATAGGGCAATATTCTGTTCTATTGTGCATCAGGCCACTATAAGTCAGAACTGACTCAATGGCACCTAACAACAACAAACAACACTCAGACAAGCCACCACTCTTCTGTCAGTTTGTCATATTGTGGTGACTTGTGTGTTGCTGTGGTTTTGGAAGCTATGCCATAGGTGTTTAAAATATCAACAGATTCATCCATGGTGGATAGGTTTCAGTGGATCTTCCAAAGTAAGACAGACTAGGATAAAGGATCCAGCAATCTACTCATGAAAAATTGACCAGTGAAAACCTAATGAATAGGTGCAGAACATTGTGTTTGTTATATCATGTCAGAAGCTGAGTCCTTCAGGCTCAAAGGCACTCAAAATACAACTGGAGAAGAACTGTCTCTTCAAAGTAGAGTATTGTTAGATGCCATTGAGTCGACTCTGACTCAGAGCAACCTTATGCACAACAGTACAAAACACTGCTCAGTCTTTGCCATCCTCACAATCATTGTTATGCTTGAGCCCACTGCTGCTGCCACTGTGCCAGTCCTTAGTGATATTGATGCAGTAATGCTTTCAGGATCTTCATTTGCTGATGTGAAACAACTTAAAATGAGGAGAAACGGCTGCAAACATCCATCAGTAATCAAAATGTGGAATGTACAAAGTATGAGTCTAGAAAAACTGGAAAAAAGGAAACAGAATGGTTGAAGATTGACATCCTCATCATTAGTGAGCTGGAATGGACTGGTATTGGTCATTTTGAATCAGGCAACCATATAGTCTAATATGCTGAGAATGATAAATCGAAGGGGAACAGTATTGCATTTAGTGTAAGAGAAAAGAATTCATCAGTATTGGAGAAAGACTCATTAACAACCTGTGATAGGCAAATGACACAATCTTGCTTGCTGAAAGTGAAAAGGACTTGAAACACTTAGTAATGAAGAGCAAAGACTATAGCTTTCAATATAGATTACATGACAACATAAAGAAAACCAAAATCATACCATCTGAACCAGTCAGCAATATCACGTTAAATGGAAAAAAACACTGAGGTTGTCAAAGATTTCATTTTACTTGGATCCATTTTCTAGGTCCACTGAAGCAGCAGTTAGAGAAATAAACGGTGTATTGCACTGGGAAAATCTGTGGCAAAAGATTTATTTAAAGTGATAGAAAACAAAGATGTCACTTTGAAGATTACTATATGCCTGACTGTGGTACTGTGGGGTAAGCAATGGATTGCAAGGTCAGTTTGAACCAAAGGTCAGAGGTTCAAACTCACTAGCCACTCCTTGGAAACCCTATACAAGGTTGCAGTTAGTTGAACTGAGGGCATTTAGCAACAACAAATGTGCCCGACTCAAGCCTGGTATTTTCAGTTGTTTCATATGCTAGAGAAAACGGGTCTATGAATAGGGAAGACCAAAGAAGAATAAATATTGCCTTGTGCTCTGTATACTAACTCATCCATTTCTCTATGTATTCATTCAACAAATATTTCTGAGCATTTCCTACTAATGTCGAAAAGTATTGGGAGCTGGAAACATAAAAATGAAGGACTGTGCCCTACTTAAGGATATTAAGTCTTGTGGGATCAACAGGTAAATCGTTAACTATAATGAAATGATTGTTGTTGTTGTTAAGTGCCTTCGAGTTGATTCTGACTCATAGCAACCCTGTATAGGGTTTCCAAAGAGTGGCTGTTGAGTTTGAACCACTGATCTTGTGGTTCAAACCAACTTTGCGGTGCAGTGCTTTATCCCACAGCGCCACACCTGGACTCCGTAATGAAATAATATCATGTTGTATATAAGAGTCCTGGTGTGCTGCTGTAAGATAAGCATCAGACTAGCTCAAACCCACTAGCTCCTCGAAGGCAGTTAACAACAAGAACAGCATGTGGCATAGGGAGAAGTAATAAATTCACCAAACATGGGGGTGAGTTTGTGTTTGGTAAAAGCTTCACAGAAGAAATGATGTTTGTGCTGGGTCTTTATTTCCATTTTAAAGATTAAGAATTAAGTTACTTTCCCATGGACTCAAGGCTACAAGTTGGGGAGTCTGGATTTGAACCCAGATGTTTTCTAAATCTAATGGACACACACTTAAACACTGCATTATTTTCTCAATCATAACATATCGAAACTTCATCAAATACTTTGGTAAGGACCAACCAAAATTTAAAATAACGATATTGCTTTTATAAATAAAATCTTAGATTTATTGCTATGATAAAGCAAAAAATGAATAACACTGGGAATTGTGTTATTTCCTATAGAATCCTTATAATCCAGAGTGGGTAAAGATAAGGTATGGAGCATGGTATCTGAACACCAAGTTGTGGAAAAAGCAAAGAGCAGATGAACCTCTGATCGACCCCAAAATCTTACTTAAAGCACAAGATGAGAATTTTAAAAAGGAACTGCAAAGAAAGGTATGACTATATGCTGGTATTTGCTCACTTGAATTGAAGGTTTGTGCAACTGTTACCTTCATACTGAAGTCAGAGTGCCTGGAGTGTTACCAACTCATTTCCAAAGAGCTGACTCCTACTCAGGATGACCTCATGTTACAGAACAGAACCGTGTTCTGTAGGGTATTCTTGGTTGCAATTTTCAAAGAAGCAGATTGTCTTTATTCTGCAACCCACTGGGTGTGTCGAACCACCAGCTTTTAGATTAGTAGCCAAGCACAAGCCATTTGGAGTGTTAGAAAGACTCCCAAAACTCTTATAGTGTGCATATTGAATTCATCAATGAAAAAGCCAAATCATTATATGAGGAATGTATAATAAGCAAGACTTGAAAATATGTGTCTGGGTGGTAGACACAATGTCTCTAAAGGTGGGACAGCCACCCACTGTAGCATTCTTGGAGCAATTGATTCAAATAGCAATATGACCTACTAGGACAACCTCACTGCTCAGATTGGGGTTCTTTCTCTTTGGGTAACCAATTATGAAGTTTGTTCCTACTGGCAGTAGTTGAATGTAAAGAACTCAAAAGAGTAGTCAGGAAACTTCATTCATGCAATTCAGTACTCAGAATTATAGGATCTGTCTGGGAGGAAGGGGACAAAGGGTCACTATGACCTAAGGGTCACTATGACCTAATAACAAGTGTTTGTGGATTTAATACATAAATCTATTTGCACCTAATAACAAGTGTTTGTGGATTTAATATATAACGTAAAACTATTGCAGTTGTGCTTTTTAAAAAATAGCAAAATATCACCAATGATTTAAATATTTAAAATAAAAAATAGTTATGCAATGAATTTTTATAATTGAAATAATTTATTTGATACAATTTCTATGCAGTCTGGTCTCACTGTCTGATTCTTTTAATGCTTTTATGGTGCTTGGATTTTAGTTTATTTTTAAATAATTTATCATAGACTGTTGTTGATATTGAGAATATACACAACAAAACATATACCATTTCAACAATTTCTGCATGTACAATTCTGTGACATTGGTTACAGTCTTTAGGTTGTACAACCATTCTTATCCTCTCCTTTTGAGTTGTTCCTTCCCCATTAACATAAGCTCATTGTCCCATAAGGTTTCCATCCAATCTTTCAAGTCACTGCTGTCAAGTTGATCCCATATTGATAGATCTTAAAAGGGCACAATGCTCAAGGCAGACATTCTTTACTAATTAAGCTAAAATAATGTTTGGTTTTAAGAAGACTTCAGAGGCTATTTTTGGTTTAATGCTTAAAAATTATATCAGGTCAATAGTTTCAGGAGTTTATCCAGCCTTCATGGCTCCAAAAAGTCTGGATTCCATTAGAGTTTTATATTCTGTTCTGCAGTTTCCCCCTGTTGATCAGGATTCCTCTATGGAATTTTAAAAATCAAAATGTTCAGTAATAGTAGCTGGGCACCATCCAGTTCTTTGGTCTCATGGAAAAGGATGCAGTTGTGCCACACATCCATTACCTCTTCCTATTCCTGACTCTTTTCCCATTGTTGCTCCAGGCAAGCAGAGACCAATTGTATCTTTTAAGACAGCAGGCAATACGAACTAGGAAGCAGAACAAAAGAACTTAATTAAGCCAATTTACTGTGATGTCCTATGAAACCATGACCCTACATGTCCAAAGCAAGGAACCAAATCCCATGAGGTGCTTGGTCTTACAGAATCAGCTTCAGCAGCTGTTCTTTTTATTATTATTTTGTAATTGTAAATATATCTGTCGCACAGCTTTTGACAGTTCAAATTTTTATAGGTGTACAACTTATCGATAGCAATTGTAATAATTGGCTGTGCAGCCCTATGCTTAGTCAATGTAAACTGAAACTCAAACCTCCATAAACAATAACTCACTGCCTTTCTCCCCTCCCTTTCACCCCAAAACCAAACTCATTGCCATCAAGTCGATTCCAACTCATGGTGATCCTATTTAGAGTTTCTGAGACTAGAAATCTTTATGAGAGCAAACAACGTCCTCTTTCTCCAATGGAATGGCTGGTGGTTTCAAGCCACCATCTCTACACATTTGTCTTTTCTTGACTTTAGATAAGTGAGGCTGTACAATATTTGTCCTATTGTGATTGCTGTATTTCACCCAGTGTAATATTAGGTATCAAATGTCATTTATCATTGACTGAGTAGTATTTCATTTTATACATGTACCACATTTCATTTATCCACTTATCTATTGATGCCACCACTTATCTGTTAGTTTGTCGTGCTGTAGTGACGTGTCACTTGCTGTGATTCTGGAAGATATGCCACCGGTATTTTAAATACCAGCAGGGTCACCCATGGTGGACAGGTTTCAGATGAGCTTCCAGACGAAGACAGACTAGGAAGAAGGAGTGACAAACTACTTCCAAATATTTAGTCACTGAAAACCTTGTGAATATCAGAGAAACACTGTCAGATATAGTGCTGGAAAATGAGGCCCTCAGGTTAGAAG